TGAAATTGAATTTCCGCAATGACAGATATTCGCTGAGGACTGCGAGATGGCTATATAGAACGGCCCATAGAATCCGCGACCTCCTCGAAACGTCGATTTTCTCTTTTCTCAGTTCTCTCTTTTTTTTAATATACTGAATTTTATGGCGATCACTTCATTTTGTTGCCTGAAACCGACAATTTTATCGAGTGTCGCTTTGACGTTTCACTGTATCGATAACGAGAAAGCGCGTGCATGACACAAATGCGTGATACGAGAATTTCGATATATATGCAAACACAGATCCATATATCCGCCAAATTAATTTTTAAAGATTGTTCACAAGGGACAAATAATAATAAAAATGACTATTTTTCCTCGAATCTGTCTTACGCGATGATATGGTTGCTTGTTCGAGAATTCGCGGAGATGACAGTTCGTCGATGAAAGATCGCGCGATCAGATTATCCGTTGCGGGGTGTATGTATGAAAAAGGGGAGGAATATACGTGTACAGTATATGTATTCTATCGCCTGTGCGAGAAGTGGGCCGTGTGCACACCAGCTGTCGTTACCGAGCCTCGTTACCGTTCCCGTCACGTCAGTGGTGTGTGTTGCCGCGATAAATCTGGCATGCCCGAATCTCGCGCGTTATTACTTTGCGCTTTTATTCCGGGTAGCACCGGAGTCAGCTGGTATATTTCATCGGACCTTGCAACCCCCTGGGTTTTCTTCGAACCGTTACACGCTCGCGCGCGTCCCTTTTATTATAACGATAATCGTAATAAGACCTATCGTTGTTTCTTAAATAAAGAAGTCGTAAAACTCGGGCATATAAAATTCCCTCGGAGTATGAAAGAGAAAAAAAAAAAGACGCGAGAGAAAGTAAAGAGCGACAGAAAAAAAGAAATTAATAAATAAAAGTCAACGACGACGAATGAGCCAAATTCGTTTCTAACTCATTCTATATATAAACGGAATTATTATACTTTACAAGAGAGAATACTAAAGCTTGTGCGATGCCATTTTCATCCGAACCGCGCGGTCGCGGCTGATGTCTTTCAACGTGGCAGACACAAAGGATAAACTTCAAGCTGGCACCGAAATTACTCGGAAGCCAGATAAAGTTTGCCGCAACTTAGGTAACAGCATGAGGTCATCAAACAATCGAGGTAGCAACCCGCAATGAAACCGCGCTATTGCCAATTGATCGAATCGATCCTGATTTTCGAGTCTCTTCCTGGTACAGTTTCTACCCGGATAGGATCGATATAGGAGCGCTCCGCTAGGGCCGCACGTCGGCCACGATAAGGAGCTGAGAAGTATAGCCCGAGATCAATTGAAAGGTATCGACCTCGCTTTTGCAGGCGTTACCTCGGATAAAGAATCACGTCAATTTATATCGCGCGCGCGAGTTTTGGGCGCTTTCCACCCGTCGTCCACCCATTCACCCCTCGGCGTGTTGCGGCAAACTTTCGTCGTAACGTTAAGCCGCTTTACGAGATTACACCGTTGGCAATTTACATACGATTGAGTTACGGCGACGGCGCGGCGGTGCTTGCGCGAGGGTGCGAGAAAGACAGTTAAAAGTATTACTATTCTCGTGTCGCCCACATATAACTATTCGCATTCCGCAGCCACGAAATCGGAGCGGGGCTATAACGAAGTTGCTACGATTATACAAGTTCGGGAAATGTGCAAGCAAGTACACATTTTCGACGAGTTACTTCTCTACTTCCGCTTACGACCTAAGTGCAGTGTTTAACGCAATTAATCGCGTCAAGCGACTCTGACTCCCCGAATATTCCACGTAGATAATGCGGATACGCAACATCCGACGACCGGAAATTTTCGTAATTCCGTAATAAGACGCTCGCGTTTATTATTCTTACTTTGCTGAAGCGCTCGTAGCGTTTGTAAAATATACCAAAGTTTTAAGAGGAAATACCGATTGTATACAGAAGCGTGCGAAAATTCCAGAGATATGCGCGTTAATTTTATTATATTATACATGCATACCCTGAATCGCGAAAGAGGAGAAACTCTTCGGGTTTGAATCCCGGATACTGTGTAGCCAGTAGTTTTTCCTAGTCTTATAGTTAGCGTCGAGTGGAGGAGAGAGAAAATTTAACTTGCACCCATGTCCCCCGTTTCGGAGAACTCGGAAAGATAAACTCGGAAAAGTTTGTAATTGCACGACGATTACAACTTAAATATGCGCTTTAGCGCGGCCAGAGAATTTATAAGTATTCTCTTCCCTCTCTCTTTCTCTTCCTTTTTCGGACCTTTAATGAATATTACTCTTGAATCGGTGTATCTGGCTCGTGTAACATGAGTGCTCGGGCAAATCCGACGAGATATAGACCGAGGATACCAAGTTTTGCCGCTTTCCGCGAGCCGTATTATTAAACTTCCGGTAAGCCGAAAGCGGGCATATTCCGGGAGAGTCGCTTCTTCAGTCTAAGATCGTAATAGCTAACTTTTGCCCCGCGCGCAGCCCCACGACGAGATTTCTCAGCCCATTCACCCCAGCGGGAAACTGAGCAAAATTATTCGCCGGCGACGGCGCGACGCGGCCGAATTGATTAGATCTAAACTTGCTTCCGTAAAACGTGATATCCGGTAACGCTTGGACGCGCGCGCGTGACGATGGATATTCGTTACACGAATAAGTAACGAACAAGAGAGAGAAAGACAGAAAAAAAGATAGTGAGAAATGAACGTATCGTGTCCCGGGCTAACGTCGGAATTCTCGCCAATTCCGCTTGATGAACCCGAACGTTGCGCTAGACGCGTTGACAGACTAAAACCATCGAAATATTTCCGCACGCGCGAGAATGACGAGAAAGAAAGAGAGAGAGGATGGGATAGTGGGACGGGAGCGAGAAGGCGAGAGAGAATCGTTTGTTCCGCGCTGTTAACCGCATGTGCGATGCGCAAGCGTCTATATGTAACTCGGGCTCGATGACGTCGCGCGAGCGGTGCAATGAATATCCGTGCGTCCCTCACGGCTCGGCCAAATTAAATGTGATACACTCGTGCGCCGTGTAACGCCGGTCAGTTATTCGCCGTGCCAGCCCGGCGTATATATACTGGCCAGCTAGCTGCTCGTTACTCTTCTTCCATTGTCAGAAAAAATTGCGGCGCTCGATCCGCGCAAATGCGCTCTAACGGGCTCTCATCTGCGTACAGTAATTAAATTACAATGCGTTATTATACCGCACTTAATTTTTCGCTCCAAGTTTCGCACGGCCGCGTATACGTTACATTTATAATTATTTGCTCTACTTTCCTCGCCTTATAATAATTGCTTTGAAACTTTTTTTTTTATTTTCATAATTTTATCATTTTTTTATAAATTTTTTACAAACATTTGAGACAAGTGGACATTTTATCAATGGCAGATACTTGCGATGAAAGAGATTAAGTATTTTCGTATTACAGTTTGCCGTTTGTCTGCGTTAATTTTGCAATATATTATTATTAAGAGATAAACTGACGATATATACGATTACGATACTAAATTTTAACTGGGAAAAAGGACATTTTACATTTTGTATCGATGCCTCCTGATTTATGGGTCAGTTTCGGTGCTGACTACTAAAGCAATGAATACCGAGTCGCACTGAGCAATCCATCAAGCCAAATATAATTCAGCGTCTGCATCTGACGTCATATGACATACTACGTTACGTATAACTAAACGCCGTTCTTTTTGTAAACGTCTCGCTCATGCGTCATCTCTGTGCTCGCCCGTGCAAAGAAAATGCAAATATATACGTGTATATGTATGCGTTATACGGTTACGTTATGGCACAACACGATATTACCCCGCGGATAGCGCATTCTCATGTGAATTTTTACAATCGCTCAGTTACAACTAACAAAATGCATACGGGCATACAACGCGGATTGTACATTGGTGGAATGTTACGCGCTTTAACGTAATAATGGAGCACTATAATGAAATAGTATAAAATTCGATGCGGTTCGCCTCGCATGGGAATAAAACACCCGTATTAAGCGTTGCCCAGAATGGGCTTTAATAGCGTAATAGCTTTTCCGCATATATTTTCATGTGCATGAAAACGTGCTAATTGATAATCTTACTTTACATATATGTATAAAAAGCTAACAATTATATTTCTCAGCATACTCGAAGAGTATTTGCTACAAAGAAAGTTGGATAATATAAAAACATGTAAAATTTATAATACACCACAAAAAATCAATAATTGTCTTCCATACATTCTTACGTCCAATATGATTTTGATTTCAAAGATATAATAAATCGCGTGATAAGAAATTTGATATCAAAGTTGTATAAAAAAATGGCTAAAGAGGAAAGCTTCAAATAAACAATCTAATATTTTTTTCTCAAATTATATTACATTGTCTTTTAAAATAATCATTGTTTTCCCCTTTAATTTGACGTTTTGAATTCTCTATAAACGGACGGCTCATCATAATCTTCCAGCTGCTCCATAATCTTATGCCTATGAGTGCGTTATCAGACAACCGCATCGTATCTCCTGCACTATACATGCACGAGAGAACTAAGCATGTATCCTCACAATTCGTGACTTTGCCAACGGTACTGGCTAGTCGAGGCCGAGGTCGAGGCTCGTGGTAACAGGGGCATTGTTTTTGTCGGACACGTTGCCTGGATACTAATGCGTTCGGGCACCTAACGTCCGGCTATACGTTAAGCCCGATGCGCCAACATAAATGCGGCTTACGTTCGCGCACGATAACGGATCCTTAAACCAACATGTGTGTGCAATATCGGTTCGCGTTAGCAGTAATCCGCTTCGGCCGAGGCTGTCAGAGAAAAGAATCGCGGAATAATAAAATCTCCCACTCCACGCGTTCCTTCGGAGGAATCCGCGAGATTTCGCAACACGACGATAATATTCACCCTCTTTCACCTTCTTTCACCCTCTTCGCTCTCCACCCCTCGCCTTCTTCCCTTGTTTGCGATATGCGCGCGCGCTCGCAGTTTTAGAAATAATCGATATTTACCTGGATTTACGGCGTGGCAGTGGTTGAGGAGCGGCAGCCAACAGAGCAGTAGCACCGCTCTCTGCATCTGAAATCAGAATTAACGCCCGTGAAACATTTATAAGTATAAATCCACATAGGCGACGTACGCAGCTAAAATTCGGCGACTGTATCGTATTCGCAAAATGTTCGCGAAACACTGACCGCGATTAAGATTATAATTATATTTTTTTCTTGTATTATTCTTTTAGATTCTTTACCCAGATCATTTTGACATCAAAATTATATCATAATAATTACTGTGGCTATCTGAATAACAAACACAAAATTGATTTTTCTTTAACAAAAAAGTCTCGATAGGAATTCTAATTATGAGGGTGGTTATCATTGGAAATTAAATTGTCTTTTAATATTTCTCTGCGAGTCTAGTTTTAAGAGAATAAATAGCTAACGAATACTCTCTCTCTCTCTCTCTCTCTCTCTCTCTCTCTCTCTCTCTCGTTTCTGGTTTACTTTAACAGGGACTTAATGTGAGTTTTAATTGACAAGACGTATAATTCTTTTTGAATCCTGTAAAGTTCTCAGTCGAGAATAAATGGTGGTTTTGTGCGTCAAACTCTATTAAAGAAAATCAGCTCAGAGTTCTTCAAATTAGATTTGTCAAAGTTTATCATGAAAATGCAGACATATTTTTTTACTTTAATTTCTATGATAATTAATTAATTGTATGGATGCAATCAATATACATAATACGATTCTGTATGATATAACTTGAGTGTCTATATTTCCTCGTTATTATTTTCTTTTTACAAGAGCTTATAAGAGACTTTTAATTTATTTTTTACGTAATCTAGAATTGAAGTACTATATATATAGAATTTTCCATTTCACATTCTCTCCGTTTTGTAATGAAATTTTCAATATTAATGTCTATTAATTTCATACGCGCATTTAAGGCCGTAATGTAAAATAATCTCGGCGTTATTAATGTGCTTGTTATATGCGTATAAGTCAAGATCCTGTGTGAGAAACGAGAACCTATACATGTACGCATATACACACACATATACGTATACACATGGTAAATGTATGGAGACAGGGAGAGAGAGAAAGAGAAAGAGTAAAGGCAATCCTCTACTGTTCATTGTGCTAATAAAAAATAAACTCGGTATATGCATGCGCTCGTCACAAGAGATATACTCACGTATACGACTGGTACAAAGGCAGTCGTGCAAGAAGTATTCGTACCGAATTTTTACAAGAGAACACAATTCGTCTCTCCACTAACTGCACGACTGGATAAAAAGAGACTCGATGCTTTTGCAAGGCCCATGTATCTCGCAAGCGCAACGATTTGTCAGCTCGCGATTCCGATATCATGTCGTGAGGAAAATTAAAAATATTCACAGGTGCAGCGATGATCGACGCAATATATTTTGATTAATTTTTATTCGAGGGAAAAAGAAACTATACCGTCACCTCTCTTTCTCTCTCGTATTATAGCAAACATTTTTCTCTCCACGTATTTTTCAATTATTTCTTTTTCTATCCACAATCTATCCTTCGCGATATGTATGTATACATAAAAAAATTTATCACTTTCATAGATTTTAATATTTTTTCCGCATACAGGATATAGGTATGTACGATGTAAATAGTACGCAGTGGGGTATGCAATATGAACGAAATTAATAAAGCGAATGGAAAAAGTTGTATATTGACATGTATGTAAATGAAAGAAATTCCGGCTTGTGCATTACATAAAAATATACAGTCGATACTTATCAATCGCGCTTGTGATTCGAATATCGTTATGCGTTGTAAGCCCACCATGCATCTTTATGTCGATATGCAAATGAAAAGTGTCAAATATTTCTTCTGAAATTCAGTTTATATCCACCATGTCGCGACAATGTATTATATGTATATCAAAACATAAATATAAACAAATTATCCTTTTTCAAAAAAACACTTCTGTAAAAAAAATTGCTGCATTGTGGCAAATAGTGACTCGATATCCGTGATATTGATGAGCAGTATTAATCTCATTTTGTGCGGGAGATAGGCACGAAAGGTCGTGTCGGGCCGAAAGGTCGCACAGGTCAAAAGTGCACTGACGATTGTATTCTATTGAATGTACGGGTTGATACTCCGGGTTGGGTGGAATTACAGATTAAATGAGTTCGTAAGTTCTCTTGATGTGTGTACGCTTTCGCAATTACTGTTCCATTAATCACTCGTATGCGATGAGTAATTTAGGGACATCTTGTTTTAATGTAAAAATAATAACTTTCGTTTAAATGATTGTAATATTTTAATGTCTTATAAACCGAAATAGATATTTTAATCTTTATATATATATATATATATATATATATATATATAATAAAATTGAGTGTGCACCTATAATATATATAGAAAAAATTATAAAACAAAAGCATTTAATAGAATAAATTTGCTTAATTTGAAAAATAAACTATTTTTTAATTGCAGCGCATTATTTATTGCCAATATAAGCAGTCTGTTTTTATTGTATCATATTGAAATAAAATTAAAAAATTCATGAATCGTTATGTCGCTGCAATACAAAGCCATTGTAAATAAAGAAGTATTGCTTACGCGAGAATGTAATCGAAAGAAGTATTTCTCTTTTCTCTTCTTTTCTTCCCCGTAAAATATTTAAAATAAATTTAATATACATAAAGTATATTCAGTCTGAAAAAATTGATAAAGATTGAATAGATAGAATATCTTACTACTTATAACTTTATAATATGAAACGATATAAAAAAATTGATATGGAATTAAAGGAAATATCCACCACATTCCCAAATACGCAATAACTCACACGGCTGACAAGGAAACGTCAAGAAATCACTCCGGATTGCTGTCCATCAACTCTTTCAGGGTTCTATTATAGTCGAGAAAGACTGTTTTCACGTTGACACATTGGGTGACCTACTTCGACGGTACCCCTTTATGACTCGTCGCCTTATATAGACAGAAATGTTAGACAGAGCCGACTCCTCATCATGAAGCTCTGTGGATAAAATAGTAGATGATACGTCAAATGAGCAGAAATATTGTATCTCGTTTTCTTTCACGTTTCAAAGACCGCGTGCCAATAAACGAATCGCGCCGTTTCAATTCGTAAGGAAATAAAAAGAGCTCGACCGATATTAATACTTGGTATATTATCTTAAAATAAAGCTAATCGTATTCATACGCCTCATGATTTTTTTAATTATACCAATAAATTCAATGGACATGTAATGTCATGAACTAAATTTTTGTTGTGTTGGATCACTAGCGAAGCAAAGATATACAAAATGCTATAGTTTTATTAATCATTCATGTTTAGTAAAAGCGGTAATTATATCTGTCAACGGACAAATCAATAAGAGAAAAAATAAAATTGGAAGTTTTGATAAAATTTTTATAAATTCGTAGTAACATTTCAATAGAGACTGTTGAAAAATGTTCTGATTGTTATAAAAAAATAATTCTACGTTTAGATCAAACGCGATTCAAAACTCAAAAGATTAAAAAACTTTTTTTTGCCTTTGTAAAATATTCTTATTAAAAACATAATTAAAACTTTTATTATTGCAATAAGATATCCTGCAAATTACTTGATGCTGCAAATGCCATATTATTTGATATGATTACTTCATCAGTGCTATCAAAGAATGCATTTCAGAGAAATATTACATCGGCGTATTATATGCTGTTGTTGAGTATTATTGGATGCTGCACCGTTTTGCAAACAAACTGGGCGACATTTGCTCCGCACTTCGTTATTCAAGCAATATTTAATGATGTTTATACGTGCAAGTTGTACGCCTGTTCTAAATATATGACATATTTCAATCATCAATAGCTGAAATAGTAAAAACATAAAGAAAATAAAAAAAACATTACACGAACACTTACGGAAATAATAAATCCCTTCCGTGATGCCGTTTCATTTCTAGCTTTGTGTGGAAAAAAGTGTAGACATTTTGAAGGGACTTGCGTGACTATATTATGACAGTTGAGTACAGTGATTATATTTATGAACGAATAGAAATACTTTATAACAAAAACAGGAAGTGAAATGCCACACGAATGTCATGAATTATTAGCCCATAATAAAAAATTTCACAGTAGAATACAATGTTTTTATACATATGTATGCATATATGTACATATATACAATACTTTTATATACGCAGATATATATTATATGTATACATATAATATGATATTTCTGCGCTTGTCTCTTATTGGCTCTTTCCTACCTGAAGTTTTTTTATTGATAAAAGCTTTGTTTTAATTATTAGTATATATAATATTCTTATATTTGCAATATTTTACTTAAATCAGAGAGCTATTACAAATTCCTTGTAAATTCGAAAGATTTTCAAACGCCTGCAAGAGGTGATCGATGATTCTGTTCCCTATGTTATCCGCATCGTCTTCGATGTAAATAAATATCAGATCTCTAATATCGGTTCAATCGTTTTCTGTCGTTTATCGGAATGTCGTGTCGTAACACGTACAAAAGCCACGCTTTGTCTGTAATGCGAAACCCGGAAGAGAGCTTTGAACTTGTTCAGAAGAGCAAATCTGTTGCGCATGACATGGTCGAACAAGGACAAAGAATTCAAAGAGCACCAACGGGCATAGAAAATAAGGGCGACAAATAGACATAGACACCACAAAATATTCACTATGCTGGAATTAATGTAACACCGGAGAATTTAGACTAAATTTCCGACAATGAGTAAAACTAAAAATTTTTTAAACCTTGAGTTCGCGCTTTCTCGCTAGTGCAGTATTCAGAAATTTTCATCAAAGAGGAGGTCACCCTCTGCCTTGAAATGCAAATTGCGCGCTCGATCTTAGTCAATACATGAGTAATGATCGCGAGGAAATTTAATTTTATCATTCATTATTTTTAATTATCGCATATTCATCACGAACGATTGAAAGACTTAAATATGCGGATTCAAAAGGAAAATATAAATAAAAGAATATTTCCAATGTTTTATTCTTTCTTTTTTTCGAGAGAAAGTTCTCTCACGTCATATTCCAGGTGATGGAAAA